AACACACACACACACACACACACACACACACACACACCATTTTATAAGAGGATGGAAGCAGAAAAAAGAGGCGACTATTCTTCACTCTCCGTTTTATCACTCCCTTGTTCATTTTTCCTTAAACGTCAACAAGGACAGGTGAAAGGAGACAGATGTTGGTTCCATTTTTTTTCATCTTTAAAAAAAGGTAAAATCGTGTTTCACTGCTGGCTCACCCTCACTCCAGACTGCTTGGTAGGTGTGTTGTCATGATGATTCATGCCAGACTAGACTGGACGGGCAAGACAGATGCTGTTTCGGAAACCAAGCATACATAACCTCTTTAGTCACGTTTCTTTTGAAGCATTTATTTAGTCTGTCCAGACTCCAGATCAAGCAAACAGCTGAGCATGCATTAAAGTGAGAGGTCAGGTGGTGGCTCTGACCTGCTGACCTCTGGGAATGGATCTAGGCTGGAGGGAGCCTCACCTGATAATCCTACACTCGGTTATTCCCTCCCTCTTGGCCGAGTCCTGGCTCGAAGCAAACAAGAGACACGCCGTCTGCCCTTGAACAAAGCTTACATAGACTGAAATCGCTGTTACACAATTACAGACTGGATCTTCCTGTGGCACGGACAATCCTAAAGTCAGGTTCTGTAATAACGGAGAAAGATTGCATGAGGGCAGGAGGAGAGCTTTTCAGATCATCTGATTACTCATCTGTTTGGATGAACAGGCTCTGTTCTGTGTCAGAAAGTCAGCTTTAGGCTAACGTTAGGGGGTCAAAAGCCACCTATTGCACAAGCTGAATGTGGAAAAATATTACCATGTCACATCTGATGTATGGGCACGCACTCACACGTTCACACTAATCTCTCTCTTAGCCCTGGAAGGCCTTAGTCAATTGCAATGATTAAATGAGGACCTGATGATGAGGAGATGAGTGGGAATGAGTCATCTATGGGAGTCATTTCCATCACATCTCTTCAGTGGGATAGGATAGGGAACAATCCAATAAGGATGGTTTAAACATGCTAACTGGGTGAGAAGCTCCAGTCACAGCACCGCGCTAGCAACATAAAAGATCAGGTTATATGTTCTGCGCATTCAGGGTGACATGTAACAAATCCCATGACAGCAATCGTACAGAGAGTTGTGATGGCCGCAGAAATTGTGCAGAAAAACTGCACCCCTCGATAAATTCTGACGCGAAGTGGACGTCAACAGTGTTGCATTCCCTGGATGAAATCATTCCTGTTTTCATTTGAGTTACCACTAATTACACCGCAAGTATCAAACCACTATGACCTCACATCCTTGCTCTAACCCCCCACCCTCGACAAAACATGTGCACAGAGACACACACACACACACAGACACAGACAAGACTACACGCCCACACATGCCCACTACAAAACACTAAGTGGATTTCTTGCACGATGCAGTTCTCCACAAGTATTTACAAGCACACATGTATTTTATTGTATTTCGCACATGACTGCAGCTCCTACGTCAGATAAGAAATGGGAAGACGTGTCTCCGTCCTCACTAGCCACACTGACCCAGAGTGATATATAATCTGCTAATGGAGCTGAAATGGGGCCATCAATGCCATTATGTGGTGGTGTGGCCGTAAGGATATTAGGTTCACTTAAAATGAACACTTCTGTCTTCGTCATACGTCCGCAGGGAATAAGAAGAGGAATGGATTTCTCTTGGATGACCTTTCACATTCTCCTTGACAATTTTCCCCACGTTTTTCACATGTAGCGTCAGGGAGAAACGATTAGAAGTTCTTTATAGACTTGTCTCCAGTTTGTTATGAGTTTTAGCCAGTCTTGTTTTTTTCTAACATATTGTGTTCATTCAAATCCTGAACACTGATTGTGCTAATCAGAGAATGTAGCTTATACAGAAATCACACAACTAGCTAAAAAAACAAAACAAGATGAAGATGAGACATAAGAGCTCTCTCTCTCACTGTTCTTTGACACATGATGCTTTAAGATAAAGGCTAATGTCCACATGCTAACAGGATACATTGCTAAGCAGGTATAATGTAAACATATCATCCGGATTTAGTGTGTTAGCATGCTAAGCATTGCCATTTAAAATCAAGTACAGCTGAGGCTGAATGGAATGTGTCTAACTACTACTAGTTTTTGGTTTTAAACCTATAATTATACGGATTTAAAGATGGCAACATTGACCTAATAATGGCAGAAGCAAAATGAACATAGGACAAAGGATTGGAAATAGCTTTGAGGGAACACGAACGACTGAAGCAATTTATAGCAATCCAGCAAAGAACCTTAAGACATAAATACAAAAGAAAGTGGGTCGGATTCATCACCCGAGATCACAACGAAATAACTAATTAATGGAGTAAATAATATATCTGACCAACAACATTATCCCTTCACACAACCAGACATGTCTTTCTTCTCAGACATGATCTGACGATAAAGTATCATTATCAGATGTTAAAGGTGGGGTAGGTAAGTTTGAGAAACCGGCTCGAGATACACTTTTTGTTATATTCCATGGAATGCTCTTAACATCCCGATAGCAATGAATATCTGAAGTGCTTTGACAAAAAATCCATGAAAAAATGTCATCTGTGGAAGCCGTGGTACTGTAAAAAGCACGACCAATCATCTGAGCCGGCCCGGCTAACATAACTGGATGGCCTACCTGCCTGTCAGCCTTCCATCTGTGCACAAACTTATCTCGTGCCCTCATTGGTCATGTGAGCGTTCGTGTGTGTTGGAGGAGGGGCTCTGTAAGGAAGTGGCAGATTTTCTCCGGTTGTGTATTTTCAAATTCTAGCGCACTCGAGCTGGTTTCTCCAAAATTACCTACCCCACCGTTAAGCTATTTTGCAGTTTAAGCAGAAACATTAACCTGCTGTAAGCACTCCTGGAAAACCGTGGATCACAAATGTCATCATAATCTCCGTGCACAGAAAAACAAAAACTAGTTTGAATGCATAATATATTGATTAATCCAATATCTGATGAGATATTTCCGTCTGTAGCCGGACCGACTCGTTGCCATCTCTAGAGCCATAGCTGAGAAAAGTCTCCCGCCAAATGTTTGGATTACAGTTTCTTATTTGTTTAATCGGAGCTCTGTCTGTCTCTTTTAGCTGGGAAGATGCTGTGCTGCTGCCTCCCTTCGTATAGCCCGGCCCATTAGTCAGGCCACTAATTACACCGCTTACCCACACAGTCGATCATCAGAGTAAACACCCACCATGCTCCCTCTCTTTCCCTCTCTCATCTCACCAAGGACGCAGTGACAGTGGGTCTAACCCAGAATAGTATTCCTGAATGTGTGTATCGGATCCCTGTGTTTCCTCCCATACACACGCCTTAAAAACACACATTCCTGTCTCTCGGGGCCACGAAACATGTCAATACACTGTCCTTCCTCCAAAGCATCTGATGCGAAAGCCTCTTATACTCAAAATTATTCAAACACGACTGTCATCTTTCAGCTGATTTGCATTGTTAACGCAGGGAAGTGAAGACACAGGTTTATTGCCGCCCCCCCACACCCAGCTTTCATCAAGTGGCTATCTGCGTGGCTGCTTGGAGAAACGCACTAGTAATCTCTCAATGATTCCTGCACTTAGTGGGGCTGCCAGGCACCTGTTTCATTAGCGCCACACATCTTTCTCTCTCGGTTTTCTCCCCCCTCCGCATCCTCATTCCTCTCTCCTTCCTCCCGCAAGCCTCGTTATTCAAATTTCCCTGCTGTCAGCCCACATTAGCGGCGCGCCACAGTTTGCCTGTCAGCTGGCTTAATTGCTGGAGGTGCCTTCTTTTATTAGGTAACCCCCTCAGCTCGTTTGTTGCTTCCACAGAGACGCACCTCCACAACAGCTTGTGTAAACCCGAGATCCCTTCAGCCTCTTTTCCTTCCTTTTCTTCCTTTTCTCCCCCTCTCTGGCTCCCTCTCTTTCCATCTAATCGGTGGCTGAGCTCAGCAGGCAAGCTCCTGATCGATAGCCACACTCTCACCACTGGACAACAGTGATGGTGATAAAGAGCTAAAAGCATGATAGGAGGGGAGGCTTGCTTTGTGCTAGCTCTGAGGACAAGGAAAGGGCCTCAACTCCAATGTACTCTCTGCACTCTCCTACCTTACCTATATTTACTGACCGGACATTCATAGAAAGACTACCTCCTTTAAGGGATTGTGATGATAATAGAAACTAGGGCTGCACGATATTGGGAAAAACTGACATTGCGATATATATATATTGCGATATGAAAAAATACAGGAATTGAAGAAAAGACAGTTTTTTTTGTCCGCAAAGTATCCTTTCTTGAACTTTAGTGCTATACAATTGGTATTTTTTTAACAATATTTAACCGGATGAAGGATTTTAGTCACGGACGTCTGGATCTTAAGTTATCAGGGCAACAAGCTGAGCTAGCTCGGTTATCCTGCTGTGATCTGATCAAGAATGATTGTGATTGGTGGTTTGCTGTGCATGCAGAGCCTGCATGTCACTCACTCAAGTACCCCTGACATGAGAGCCGCGCGAGTTTTCCTTTTGTAGCAAGCAGCAAAATAATTGTAACATGACGTGTTTGAGTTCATTTGCCTACTTAATATCGCACGTCCTAAAAAAATAAATAAAAAATTGCACGTCCTGCGATGTCAATATCGCGCATACCGCGATTATCGTCACGACGCGATATATCGTGCAGCCCTAATAGAAACATATGGAGATTCAGACCAGTAGAAACATAAAATGTGGAACAAACTTCCTGAACATCTGAGGTCTGCACCAACCCTGGGTTATTTTTAAATCCAGGTTAAAAACCGTTCTCTTTACTGCTGCTTTTTCAGGTCATTTAACAATATTTTATTATTATTATTATACTTCAGCACGTCTTGAAGCTTCATCTGTAAGAAAAATGAACTACTTAAACTAGGTTTGTTGTCACCGAAATATGTTTTTTTTAAAGACTCCATATGATTAATGACAGATTTGAGGCACTGGCAGAAGCCACGACTTTCTTTTGGGTGCACTTCTGTTTTTGATATGGCATAATCAATGAGGAGTACAATGACATGATTAGTCAATAAACAGAGGAATAATCAGCAAATATTTAAATAATTGTTAAGAATTGGTAGTTTTGCAAAAATGTCAGATAATGCTGTTTTCAATCTATCAAATACGGGAATTTCCTTCTTTTCTCTGTATGTTATCATATTAAACTGAATCTCTTTGGGTTTTGGACTCACAAAACAAAACATTTATA